TTCCCAGCAGTACAGTGAACTAGATAACTTGAGGATGTTTCTGCTACATAGGACTAGGAATACTGACTAAAAGGTCATAAAATGCACAGTGGAGTGATTAAGAACGTAAGTGAAATATTCAGTGGTTAGAATGAAGAGTAACTGAAAACAGAGCAGTAAGTGTGTGAGCTAAGATTAAGGGTTGGGGGATTTGAGGGAGAAAATGCTTGGTCCCCTGAATTTAGGGGCTTTGGCTTTTTAAAAAAATTTAATTAATTAATTTTTGGCTGCATTGGGTCTTCTTTTGCTGCACACGGGCCTTCTCTAGTTGTGGTGAGAGGGGGCTGCTCTTCGTTGCGGTGCACGGGCTTCTCATTGCGGTGGCTTCTCCTGTTGTGGAGCATGGGCTCTAGGCACACGGGCTCGGTAGTTGTGGCTCGCAGGCTCTAGAGCACAGACTGAGTAGTTGTGGCGCACGGGCTTAGTTGCTCTGCAGCATGTGGGATCTTCCCGGATCAGGGCTTGAACCCAATGCAGTCCCCTGCATTGGCAGGCGGATTCTTAACTAGTGTGCCACCAGGGAAGTCCCCTGGTGGGTGTTTGGTTTTAACAAGAGGATTCTGGTGCTAGGAGGTGAGAAACGTCCAGCAGTTAGTACAAGGCAGTAATTAGGATTTGGATCGCTCTTGCCTTGGAGTTTTTAGTTGGAGGAAAAAAAATCTGAGATGCAGAACTCAGAGGTTTCATACCTATAAGGGCTTGGAATTCAAATTCATACCACCCAAGTGGTCTGGAAACCTGCAGTTTGGGAAATTAACATAAAAATTGGATCCTAAGCTAGTTCCTGGGATGCTTGAAACCACTCTGGAGTGACACCCGTCAGCCCAGGCCATGCACCTTTGAAGACCAGTGTATACAACAAACTGAAGGGATTAGATTCCCCCAGAACTGTAGCAAATAGAGCTAACTGGTAGAGACTGTAAAATCAGTCTCCTTGAAATGATAAAAAACAAAGGAAGAATCTAAAACGTAAAAGACCCTAAGAGTGAAAAAAAGATTTGAAAAAGAATTTCTAGAAATAAAAATATCATTAAAATTAAAAACTCATTCAATGAGCCAAACTGAAGATTAGACCCAACAGATGAGAGAATTAATGAACTAGAAGATGACTCATAGGAAATTACCCAGAATGCAGCAGGTAAAGAAGGTAAAGCAGTTGAAAGTATGAAACTGAGTCATGGAAAAAAGAATGAAAAGGCACTACACGTTTCTAGTGAATCCCAGATGTATAGATTAGAAATAATGGGGAAAGACAGTATTCAAAAATATAATGACAAAGAATTTTCCAGAATTGATGAAAGTCAGATTTAAGGAATACAGTGCCTGAAGCCAAAAGTAAAGATAAATCCATATCTAGGTACTTCAGAATGGAACTTAAGAACACCAGAGACATCAGGAGCATCTGAAAGCAACCAAAGGTAAAACGTGGAAGCTATCTCAGTGATCAGGTTAAGAGGTGACGCACGTCTGATGTCAGGGGATGGGCCCGGAAGACCTGTCAGAGAATTAGAGGTGGCATCACTTGGTAACTCAGTGAATGTTAGAAGTTTTAGGAAGAAGAGATTTAAGATGATGCCAGGCTTTCCAGTCTGGCTATTCAGATAGATAATGGCACTTTGTTCAAGACTGGAAACATAGGAGGATGAGAAGCATTGGGGTGTTAGCAAGGATTTGAGGAGTGGGTCAGAGAATCATAACGTTGTTCAGGACTTGTTGAGTTTGAAATAACTGTGGGACATGTATATATAGCTACCTGCAGGTAATCAGTCTGGAAAGGCTAATCATTAGAATATGTGGGTTAATAACAAGGTCCTGAAAACATAGGAAGAACACTCTTTGACATAAATCACAGCAAGATCTTTTTGGATCCACCTCCTAGAGTAATGGAAATAAAAACAAAAATAAACAAATGGGACCTAATGAAACTTCAAAGCTTTTGCACAGCAAAGGAAACCATAAACAAGACGAAAAGACAACCCTCAGAATGGGAGAAAATATTTGCAAACGAATCAATGGACAGAGGATCAATCTCCAAAATATATAAACAGCTCATGCAGCTCAATATTAAAAAAACAAACAACCCAATCCAAAAATGGGAGAAGACCTAAATAGACATTTCTCCAAAGAAGACATACAGATGGCCAAGAGGCACATGAAAAGCTGCTCAACATCACTAATTATTAGAGAAATGCAAATCAAAACCACAATGAGGTATCACCTCACACCAGTTAGAATGGGCATCATCGAAAAATCTACAAACAGCAAATGCTGGAGAGGGTGTGGAGAAAAGGGAACCCTCTTGCACTGTTGGTGGGAATGTAAATTGATACAGCCACTATGGAGAACTGTATGGAGGTTCCTTAAAAAACAAAGTAGTGCTACCATATGACCCAGGAATCCCACTACTGGGCATATACCCAGAGAAAACCGTAATTCAAAAAGACACATGCACCCCAATGTTCACTGCAGCACTATTTACAATAGCCAGGTCATGGAAGCAACCTAAATGCCCATTGACAGATGAATGGATAAAGAAGATGTGGTACATATATACAATGGAATATTACTCAGCCATAAAAAGGAATGAAATTGGGTTGTTTGTTGAGACATGGATGGATCTAGAGACTGTCATACAGAGTGAAGTAAGTCAGAAAGAAAAACAAATATTGTATATTAACGCATGTATGTGGAACCTAGAAAAATGGTACAGATGAACCGGTTTGCAGGGCAGAAATTGAGACACAGATGTAGAGAACAAACGTATGGACACCAAGGAGAGAAAGCGGTGGGGGTGGTGGTGGTGGTGGTGTGATGAATTGGGCGATTGGGGTTGACGTGTATATACTGATGTGTATAAAATGGATGACTAATAAGAACCTGCTGTATAAAAAAAAATGTGCTTTGTTGGTAAAGTGTTTAAAGAAAAACAACAGGGTCCTACTGTATAGCACAGTGAGTTATATTCAGTATCCTCTGATAAACCATAATGGAGAAGAATATGAAAAAGAATATATATGTGTATAACTGAATCACTTTGCTATACAGCAGAAATTAGCACAACATTGTAAATCAAATATACTTCAATAAAATTTAAAAAAATATGTAGGTAATTTTTGTGACTATTGAGATCATGAGATTGCCAAGGTTTAGGATTCAGAGTGAGATGAGCTGCTTGGCATGCTTTAGAACCTGGGGGAATGAACCTCTTCTAGAGATAGCTAGAGAATGGGCAGTGAGAGTGTGGGACCAGGAAGGAGGATAAAGCTGAGAAGTTTACTGAGGTTTGATCATTTGGAGATCATGGGAAGAAAATGCACTTAATTTCCCCAGCAAGGAGTTATGACAGCACTTGTGAAATGTTGCCAACCAGGGAAGCCCATCAGACATGCAGTGCTCAACATGTTTGTTTGGGGTAATCACATAGGCACTCCTGACTTTTGAAAAAGGCCGCTCTGAGTGTTGGAAGTGAGACCCAGGCTTCAGTGATTTGAGGAATGGATAGGAGGTGAGAATTTGGAGAGCACTCAAAAAAGCTGGATAGTAAAGGAAGAAAAGAAGACTTACCTTTGTCTAGTTTAAAATATTAATAACTTACTGTGCACCAATCTACCACTTTAGAAATACTTCTGAATGCCTCGTATGTTTGTTTTAGTCTTTGAAGGCAGGGACTTTATTTCTCTTCTCTCCTAATGCTGTTATGAAACAGTAATGCTTGTTAAATGGTGAAGCAGTTTTTTATTTTTCCTTTGGGGGTTGTGATTTTAATCCACATAAAGCTTCATTGGGTGATTAGAATAGAAACACTTGATCATGTCCATTCTAACATGAAACGCATCAGAGCTGGGCCCCAAGGGGTCCCTTTTCCTGTTCTAGCCTGTGTGTCATTTCCTGTGACCTCAATCCTGCCTAATTATTTTTAAATTGAGGTATAGCTGATGTACAATATAAGTTACAGGTGTACGGTATAGTGATTCACAATTTTTAAGGGTTATGCTCCATTTATAGTTATAAAATATTGGCTATACCATTGGCTATTTTGCTGAAGTAATGCCATTTGCAGCAACATGGATGGACCTAGAGATTATCATACTAAGTGAAGTAAGTGAGAAAGAGAAAGACAGATACCGTATGATATCACTTACATGTGGAATCTAAAAAAAAATGATACAAATGAATTTATTTACAAAATGGAAATAGACTTAGAGACATAGAAAACAAATTTATGGTTACCAAAGGGGAAAGGGGGTGGGCGAGGGATAAATCAGGAGTTTGGGATGAACAGATACACACTACTGCATATAAAATAGGTAACAACAAGGTCCTACTGTATAGCATAGTGAACTATATTCAATATTTTGTAATAACTTATATAGGAAAAGAATCTGAAAAAGAAATATCTATATCTGTATATCTATCTATATAAAACTGAATCACTTTGCTGTACACCTGAAACTAACTCAACATTGTAAATCAACTATACTTCAATAAAGAAAAAAATATTGGCTGTATTCCCTGTATCATATAATAGATCCTTGTAGCTTATTTTATACCTAATAGTTTGTACCTATTAATCCCCTACTCCTTTCTTGCCCTTCCCCACTTCCCTCTCCCCACTGGTAGCCACTACTTTGGTCTCCGTATCTGTGGGTCTGCTGCTTTTTTGTTATATTCACTAGTTGTATTTGATGAAGCAGTTTTTGGTGCCACTTACTATCTTGCAATAGGATCCTCTTTCTGTTTTCTTTTTCTCAAGTGTCCATCTTCTTTGTAATTTTTTTAAAAAACTATTTCTTCCGTATTTATCTTTTTTCAGCTTTTTCTCATTTATTCATTAGTGGCATTCCTATGGGACGGTGAAGACCAAAGAGGTTATTTACTTAGGGTTCAGATTGAAACACTGAAAAGGTTGATAGGCGTTGGAGGTGTATCACTGTTCACATTCTCTCATCTTGCATCCCTAGGAATAATATAAAACAACAGCCCTGTGAAGTTATTGTTGGAGCCCAGTGTGGCAATGCAGTCTTACGAGGAGCCCACGTCTATGTTCCAGGAATTGTGTCAGCCTCAAAATGTGAGTATAACGTTTAGGTTTCTCTGTAGAACAGCCACTAAAATTTATGTGTATCATCAAATGGAAAATTTATTAAATCATCACTCAGATACATTTCAGATTTACTTTAATAAAGATATTTTCCAAGTTTTGGATTTAGTATAGCCGGTTGAGAGAGATATCTGATAAGGACTAACAAGTTAGGCATCCGTATATGGGTTTTGTGCCCATTTCTTTTATTCCCTTTGAGGACGTGTGTGATGATGTTTACAGGATCAGGACTGATGAATAGAGCGTAAGATGTCAGTGAAATTTTGTTTTGTATTCTTTACTCTGTTGCCCTAAAACCTCAGGCTGCTGTCCTGTCATTTGTGAGGGGAACATTCGGAGCCTAGAATCTTAAATATTGGGATGAATCTTAGCATTCTTAATTTACCCTCTTAGGGAATGTTAGGTTTGGGAAAAATAATTTAAATAGAAGATATCCTTCCTTTTCTGCTCAGCTAAAGACTTCCAGCTGAGGTCAGATGTTTTGAAGACTGTTCTGTATCTTTCTTTTCCTAGGGGAAAAAAAGCATCAGTTCGATTTATTGTTGGCAAACGTTTGAAAGTAAAAAGTTACATTTTCTATTAGGGGTTACAGTGAGATGGGTCAGTCTGCTTCATGCCCACTACTGATGCCCCTAGGCGTCCCCAGTCTTAAAGCTTGAAGACTTAAAGCTTAAAGAATTTTCACTATTCTGCTACAGTACAGATAGATCAGTGTGATATGATTTTCTTCTTTCTCTAGTTATGAAAGGTGGAGATGTTGTTTCCGTGTACTCTGATATTAAAGGCAAATGTAAGAAAGGAGCCAAAGAATTTGATGGAACAAAAATATTTCTTGGAAATGGGATTTCTGAACTAAGCCGCAAAGAGATCTTCAGCAGGCTCCCTGAACTGAAGTATGTCAGCAAATGCCATTTGGGGGAAATAAGCACCTGTGGTTCAAAGAAAATGAAAAACAACGTAAAAAATATATCTAGAAAACTTTAATGAGCAAGGGGGTTTTTAGTCCAGATATAGATGTGACTGCCTTAACTCTGTTTTCTATTAATGGAAATATACTTCACTGACCTTAAAAAAATTTATCTATCTGTCTATCTATCTAGTTGCATTATATGAATGATTTTTTTTTTTAGTATAAATTCAGCTGGAAAATACTTTAACCCATATTGCCATTTTTGAGGGGGAGATATCCTTTTAGGTAAAAGAGTAAATGCTCTGGTTAAGGAGCCTATTGTATATTAAGTTGAAAAGTTTTGTATCTTTGGAAAACATTGCTTATCTTGATAAAGGATGAATTAGACCACCTCTCCAGATCTTTTTTTAACAGTCTGTGGGCAAAGAAAAGCTTATGGCTTTAATATTAAAAAGAGAAAAAATATTTAACTGAAAAATTTACCAGGAAGCCAGTACTCACATGAATACTTGTGGTCCAAAATTAATGTTCGGACTTACACCGAATTAAAATCCAAGTTATGTTAAAATCATCTCCAGTTGCTACAGGTGCTGAATAAATTAAATTGGTGGACAGTCCAGTTTCTTATAATTTTTAAAAATTGAAGTATAGTTGATTTATAGTGTGTTAATTTCTGCTCTACAGCAAAGTGACTCAGTTATACATTCTTTTTTATATTCTTTTCCATTATGGTTCATCACAGGATGTTGAATATGGTTCCCTGTGCTGTACAGTAGGACCTTGTTGTTTATCCATTCTGTATGTAATAGCTTACATCTGCTAACCCCAACCTCCCAGTCCACCCCCTCCCCAAACCCCGCCCCCTTGGCAACCACAAGTCTGTTCTCCATGTTTATGAGTCTGTTTCTATTTTGTAGGTAGGTTCATTTGTGTCTTATTTCGCTTCGTGTTTTCAGGCTGTTTTAGGAATCCTGTGGACAGCTCTGTTACTCCACAGTTGACAGCTGATGGAAACATGCTGAAAGCTGTGAATTTATCCTGCTCGGACAGAGCCACATCCCTGATTCCTGGGACAGTTTTTTATATTAAAGCAATTTGGATTTCTAGTTTATAGTTGAAAGCTGTGAATTTATCCTGCTCGGACAGAGCCACATCCCTGATTCCTGGGGCAGTTTTTTATATTAAAACCATTTGGATTTATAGTTGAAATTAATTCTTCTAAGGAAATAGGCTATTCTCTCCACCTAGAGATAGCGGTACTTTCCAAATGGCCAAGAACAAATACTGTCTTCTCCTTGGAGCGCCTTCTGAAGATTATGCATACATCTGCTGTGTTAACCTTTGGGTCTGTAATGGGGAGTTGACAGCTTGACTGCTTCCTTTAGCTTGTTATTAGTGGTACTTGCTTTATCCTCTTATTTGACGTGGTGGTTCCAGTAACTGGGTCCACAGATTTCTGAGTACTGTTTTCTTTGTTGGTGGGAGTAGGAGGCAGCCATCTTTTAAGAAACTGTTGAGTTTAAAAAAAATTTTATTTTTTATTGGAGTACAGTTGATTTACAATGTTGAGGTAGTTTCAGGTGACAGCAGAGTGATTCAGTTATACGTATACACATATCTATTCTTTTCCAGACTTTCTTCCCGTGTAGGTTATTACAGAGTATTGAGTGGAGTCCCCTGTGCTATGCATGCAGTAGGTCCTTGTTGGTTATCCATTTTAGACATAGTGATGGGTACATGGTAATCCCGACCTTCCAATCTTTCCCTCCCCCCACACCTTTCCCCTCTGGTAACCATAGGGCATTCTCTAAGTCTGTGAGTCTGTTTCTGTTTTGTAAATACGTTCATTTGTATAATTTTTTTAGATTCCACATATAAGTGATATATGAAATTTGTCTTTCTCTGTCTGACATACTTCACTTAGTATGATAATTTCTAGGTCCATCAATGTTGCGGTAAATGTCATTATTTCATTTTTTTTAATGGCTGAGTAATATTCCATTGTATATATGTGCCACATCTTCTTTATCCATTCATCTGTCAGTGGACACTTAGGTTGCTTCCATGCCTTGGCTATTGTAAATAGTGCTGCAATGAATATTGGGCTGTGTGTACCTTTTTGAAGAATGAGTTCCTCCAGATACATGCCCAGGAGTGGGATTGCTGGATCATATGGTGGCTCTGTTTTTAGTGTTTTAAGGAACCTCCATACTGTTCTCCATAGTGGTTGCACCAATTTACATTCCCACCAGCAGTGCAAGAGGGTTCCCTTTTCACCACACCCTCTCCAGCAGTTATTGTTTGTAGACTTTTTGATGATGGCCATTCTGACTGGTGTGAGGTGATACCTCATTGTAGTTTTGATTTCTCTAATAATTAATGATGGTGAGCATCTTTTCGTGGCCATTGGTATGTCGTCTTTGGAGAAATGTCTGTTTAGATCTTCCCATTTTTTGAATGGGTTGTTTGTTTTTTTGAAATAGAGCTGCAGGAGCTGTTTGTATATTTTGGAGATTAATCCCTTGTCGCATCATTTGCAAGTATTTTCTCCCATTTTGTGGGTTGTCTTTTCATTTTGTTTATGGTTTCCTTTGCTGTACAAAAGCTTTGAAGTTTCATTAGGTCCCATTTGTTTATTTTTGTTTTTATTTTCATTACTCTAGGAGGTGGATCCACAAAGATATTTCTGTGATTTATGTCTAAGAGTATTCTTCCTATGTTTTCCTCTAAGAGCTTTATAGTATCAGGTCTTACATTTAGGTCTTTAATCCATTTTGAGTTTATTTTAGTATATGATGTTAAAAAATGTTCTAATTTCATTCTTTTACATGTAGCTGTCCAGTATTCCCAGCACCACTTATTGAAGAGACTGTATTTTCTCAATTGTATTGTCTTGCCTCCTTTGTCATAGAATAATTGACCATAAGTGCTTGGGTTTATTTCTGAGCTTTCTATCCTGTTCCTTTGATCTACAAGTCTGTCTTTGTGCCAGTATCGTATAGCTTTGATGACTGTAGCTTTGTAGTATAGTCTGAAGTCAGTGTGTCTGATTCTTCCAGATCCGTTTTCCTTTTTCAGGATTGCTTTGGCTATTTGGGGTCTTTGTGTTTCCATATAAATTTTAAAATTTATTGTTCTGGTTCTGTGAAAAATGCCATTGGTAATTTGATAGGGATTGCATTGAATCCATAGATTGCCTTGGGTAGTATAGTCATTTTGACATTATTGATTATTCCAACCCAAGAGCATGGTATATCTTTCTATCTGTTTGTGTCATCTTCAGTTTCTTTCATCAGTGTCTTATAGTTTTCAGAGTACAAGTCTTTTGCCTCCTTAGGTAGGTTTATCCCTAGATATTTTATTCGTTTTGTTGCAAGGGTAAATGGGATTGTTTTGTTAATTTCTCTTTCTGATCTTTTGTTGTTAGTGTATAGGAATGCAAGAGATTTTTGCATATGAATTTTGTATCCTGCAACTTCGAATTCCTTGATGAGCTCTGGTATTTTTCTGGTGGCATCTTTAGGATTTTCTATGTGTAGTGTCATGTCATCTGCAAACAGTGACAGTTTTACTACTTCTTTTCCAATTTGGATTCCATTTATTTATTTGTTTATTTTGGATTCCATTTATTTATTTATTTATTTATTCATTCATTCTTCTCTGATTGCTGTGGCCAGGACCTCCAAAACTATGTTAAATAAAAGTGGTGAGAGTGGACATCCTTGTCTTATTCCTGATCTTAGAGGAAATGCTTTCAGCTGTTCACCATTGAGAATGTGTTAGCTGTGGGTTTGTCATATGTGGCCTTTATTATGCTGAGGTAGGTTCCCTCTATGCCCACTTTCTGGAGAGTTTTTATCATAAATGGGTTATCATAAATTTTGTCAAAAGCTTTTTCTGCATCTATTGAGATGATCATATGGTTTTTGTTCTTCAATTTGTTAATGTGGTGTGTCACACTAATTGATTTGCAGATGTTGAAGAATCCTTGCATCCCTGGGATAAATCCCACTTGATCATGGTGTATGATCCTTTTAACGTATTGTTGGATTTGGTTTGCTAGTACTTTGTTGAGGATTTCTTGCATGTATGTTCATTAGTGATATTGGCCTGTAATTTTCTTTTTTTGTGGCATCTTTGTCTGGTTTTAGTATCGCGGTGACGGTGGCCTTGTAGAATGAACTTGGGAGCGTTCCTTCCTCTGCAGTTTTTTGGAAGAGTTTCAGAAGGATAAGTGTTAACTCTTATGGAAATGTTTGATAGAATTTGCCTGTGAAGCCATCTGGTCCTGGCCTTTCGTTTGTTGGAAGTTTTTTAATCACAGTTTCAATTTCAGTACTTGTGATTGGTCTGTTCATATTTTCTATTTCTTCCTGGTTCAGTCCTGGGAGATTGTACCTTTATAGAAATTTGCCCATTTCTTCTAGGTTGTCTGTTTTATTGGCATATAGTTGCTTGTAGTAGTCTCTTATGATCTTTTGTATTTCTGTAGTGTCCATTGTAACTTCTCCTTTGTCATTTCTAATTTTATTGATTTGAGCCCTCTCCATCTTTTTCTTGATGAGTCTGGCCTAAGGTTTATCAGTTTTGTTTACCTTTTCAAAGAACCAGCTTTCAGTTTCATTGATCTTTCCTTTTGTTTTCTTCGTCTCTATTTCATTTATTTCTGCTCTGATCTTTATGGTTTCTTTCCTTCTGTTAACTTTGGGTTTTCTTCTTCTTTCTCTAGTTGCTTTAGGTGTATGGTTGGGTTGTTTATTTGAGATTTTTCTTGTTTCCTGAGGTAAGGTTGTCCCTCTTAGAACTGCTTTTGATGTGTCCCATAGGTGTTGGATCATTGTGCTTTTCTTTTCATTTGTCTCTAGGTAGTTTTTGATTTTCTCTCTGATTTCTTCAGTGATCCATTAGGTTGTTTAGTAACATATTGTTTAGCCTCCATGTGTTTGTGTTTTCACAGTTTTTTTTCTTGTAATTTATTTCTAA